AATAGTAAATGAGTATTGGATAAATTTGGTTAGACAAAAGTTTAATTAGTTATAAAATATTATATTAATTGTATTTTAAAAATTCTAGTTAAATAATTGTAATTGTATTAATTAATTTATTAGGAATGTGATTATATGGAAGTTAAGATAAAATAAGATGTACGCAAAAAATCTAATTGTGGTCTTCTTCTTTAAATGTTTGAATTTAAAAATCTAATAACCAAATTTAGATTATATCACGTAAGGAAAAAAATAAATAATAAACATTTATTAAAGAGATAAATCAATAATATTTATCACTTAGATAATAAAGAATAAACATTTCCACGTAAGAAAAAATAAAAAATAATATATTTAAAATAAAACTTAGAATTTCAAATAAAGTAAAAGGAGGGGTAACTCATTTTCTTAAAAAAATTTCTAAATGTTTAATATATTGGTAAGTATCTTCGTAAGAATAGTCATATCATTTTAATTTCAAAAAAAATTGGCAAGTTTGTTAGAGAGATAATTCCGGTAGATAAATGATTAATTAGTTAAGATATTATATTAGTTATATCATAAAAAATTTAGTTAGATAATGTAGATAAAAAATATAATATTAATTAGTTTGTTAGAAATGTTATTATATGAAAATCAAGATAAAATAAAATTTACCCAAAAAATTTGTTTGTGATTTTTTCCTTTAAATGTTTGAATTTAAAAATCTAATAACCAAATTTAGATTATAAAATTAATTATATTTTATTTCTATTTTTTCCTCCTCCATCATATTTGCTTTCGCTGCTACTTTTCTGGGATCATGCGACTCAACTCATCACAATCATATCTTTATTTAGTTTTATCAACTCATTAAAATTACATCTATCAACTAATTAAAATTACATATATTAAAAATATTTTTTAAAAGTTTTGAATCCACATTTTATTAATCGAATATTCAAGTTTTATAAAGAACGATTTGTTTCATAATATGTAAATCCTTTAATTTTAAAAATGATCTTGCAACTTATATTAATGAAAATTAGCTAAATTATTATGGACATTTTTAGACATTTTTTAATAAATAGCATATAAAACTGTAGGTGTTTAAAAAAAAAGAATACATAAATTTAATTGTACTTAACATTTTTTGACATATATCTTAGTTTTTTTATCCATGTTAAAGATGTTAAGTAATTTCATACAACTCAAACATTCGTCCAATTGTTATTTCTACACCAACGAAATTCTACCTACGATTTTAGGATTGACATGATGTATAAAAATCGCTTCCAAATTTAAATCAAATTAAAGAATCAGAAATGGAATTAACTCATGAATTTAGGAATCACATGAGAAATTAATCCGCAAAACCAAATTTCATGGGCGAGATATACCAAATTTTACGTTAGCCAAATATTTCAAATAAAATTTTAAGGGGAAAACAAACATTTGAGCGAGAAAATGAATTATTTTTTTTTTATTTTTTTCTTAACTGTATTATATAGTAATATATTTCCTAAACTTCAGTTAAATGATTTTTTTTTATTTCCTAAACTTCAGTTCAATGATTTTTTTTTATTCTAACGTCCAATTTGTAACAAATTATTTTGAATATATAACATAATAATTTATAATAATATCATTTTCAAAAAATAAAAAAAAAGGTGTCCGGCTGGCCGGACCGGTCACGACCGGCCTTCTGGGCCGGACAACCGACGGTCGTCCGGCCGGCCCAAGGACCGGTCCGTACGGCCGTAAATCGCGTACGGACACGGTCGTGTCCGGTCCGACCGGTCGGACGCTATTTGGGCCGCCCAATTTCGGCAGCCGGACAATTTTTTTTTTCAACTTTTTGGAAAACAATATCAGGGGTAAAACTGTCCAAGGGGACAATAACTAATAATAGGTGACGGCAAATGGTAATGCCCAGATATAATCCGTCCATATGCATTTTTTACTATAACAACCCAGAAAAAATATTAAAATCACAATTAAGTATAAATATATACTTTTTNATATATACCTCGTTTCACTCTTGGCTAAATGAGAGTGACATAAATATGATAAACGATCCACAAAATCATTGCGGAACTCTCCTCTCAGATTGCATAAAAACCAAGAATCTGAAGCTGGGAAGAGCTCTTCACGCCCACCTAATAAAAACAGCTCAAATTCTCGACACTTGCTTCACAAACCGTCTCATACAGATTTACTCAAGATGCAGCTCATTAGCTTTTGCCAGAAAAGCCTTTGATGGTCTCTCTTTCAAGAACACACATTCCTGGAACACCATGATCTCCGCCTACTCTGAAGCGGGCTGGTTCGAAACTGCCCGCCAGCTGCTCGACAAAATGCCCGAACCAAATCTTGTCACCTACAACTCCATCATCTCTAACTTGAGTGGCAATGGGTTTAGCCGAGAAGCCGTAAACTTGTTCAGTGGAGTACAGAGAAATAATCGGAGTGTTGTTTTCATGGATGAGTTTACCGTGGTCGGCTTAGCCCACGCCAGTGCTAGCCTGGCTGCACTGGAGATACTTCGCCAGGTGCAAGCTTTGGCTTTCGTGATGGGTTTGGATTTTAATCGTGTGGTCTGTAATGCTCTGATCGACTCTTATGGAAAATGCGGTGTTCCGGAAAATTCTCACTGGATATTTAGTAGAATGGAAGAACGAGACGTGGTTTCGTGGACTTCCATGGTAGTTGCTTACGCGAGGTCGTGCAGGCTTGATGATTCTTGCCGGATTTTCGACCAAGAACTCTGTTTCTTGGACGGCTCTGTTAACGGGCCTGGCCCAAAATGGGGAAGGAGAAATGGCTCTGTCCTACTTTAGAAAAATGATGCACGAAAAATCCGTGGCCGCTAATGATGTTACGTACGTTAGCGCTTTAAGTGCAACTAGGGGCTGTCAGAAATTTGGGGGTTATTCTTGTGGATGGATTGACCGTCGGCGACGCTGGGGATGGATTTTTCGATTATGCACGACACTGACAGGTACGAGCTGTTCAGTAGTTTAGGGATACTGGGTCTGGTAATTTCGGGGTTTTCTGGGGGAGTCGGTTCTTTCCTCGCGATTAATGGTGCGAATCGCTTAGCCTTTTTGTATGCGCAGTACTGAAGTGACTCGATGCAAAACTTTGTTTGTGTTGTACAGTAAACTCTTGGGCAAATTTTTTGGCAAAGGTTTATTGAAGGAAGAACGGTAATCTTTCTATGTCTAAGTGATATTTTGTGCAGTTCTCTGGACTTTGGCATTTTTTGTTCCGACTGGCTGCATTAGAGTTTAGAATCATCATTGACGATAATTGTACATATATTATCCAGCCTTTTGTGTATAAGTTAGACCTTTTGAATTATAAGTATGGTGCATATATTGTTTGAAGTTTGAACGACTATTTGATCCAAACAACTGTGTTGTGTATGTTTTTATTTCAAAATCCATTCATTGTTTGTTAGTTTCTGAGTAATCGAACAAAATGTGATCTTGTTTTGGATTATGAGTATTTGTTTATAATGAAATTCGCATTTATTTTATGCTTCTATAGCCTAACTTAGTAACCTAACTGGTCCAGGTAAACATGTTGGTTAATTGGTGTTATTCTAGAGGAAAGCATCCCTGAGGAGCTGCAGGTTGGCCGTTCTCACTTTTTTTCCCCTTTTTTCATTTCCCTGATCATATAACACCATTATCCATTATCCAGGTCTTTTTTGTGCATGTCTCTCTCTTCCTCTCTCTAATTTTACTTGGTGGTTAAATATGACCAATGTTGCTGCAGAATGATTTTATTTTCTTTCCTCCCTTAGTTATTGTTAAATGTAACAATCAATTGATGGTTGTGTGCAGTCAACACATATGGCTTCCAAACAGATCACAGAAGAAGCTGTATACTTGTGCACAGGAAATCCTTTGCCTGAGCAGATTTGCCGTTGGCTCTTAAACGAACATTTTGGCCATAGCTGCAAAAGTATGTCTGTTGTTGAACATCTTGCACCCTCTGATATTTTGGTATTCATCCATTTAATTTCGTTGCAATTCATGATATGCAGGAATCTTCGAAATCAAGACTATCTTTATAGAATTCTTACAAGCTTGTTACTAGGTTCAAAAATTTGCACAAGGTTGAAATGGATGCTTTTACAAAACAAGTGATTGTCATAATTTGGTTTATGCATTCTCTATTCATTACTCAAAATATCAATGTTCACTAATATATTTGATTATTGCTCTTACAGATTCTATCTTCAGTATTGGATATAATTCCATTTTATTTCACCTCTAAGAAAGAAATCATGGACCTTGAGGGTTGGTTGAGTACTCATTTATGTCTGCGTTCGAACTGGTTCAGGTTTATGTCTCAGGTTTTTGCTTATGTCTGTGGTTTTTGGCGAGATTCACGCTGCTTGTTTTCAGCTCAAAGCATAGCTGTGCTCTTTTAGATTTGTTCTCTCTCTCTCTCTCTCTCTCTCTCTCTCTTTTTTTNGCTTATCTTACCCTGTCTGTAACGTTTTTATTTCTTCGTTTATGGCCTAAGATTTTCTTTGATCTTATTCAGTTCTGTGGATGCTCTATGTCTGAATAGTTATGCTTCAATTTTTTGTCTGATTTTGCCATGATCATCGGCCTTCAATTTTGTGTCTGATTTTCTCATTTAGCTATTTGTAAGGTGAGTGTCTGCGCCTTTTGCATTTTAAAACGTGTGTAGAGGCAACACATTGCAGAAGATGACGTACGTTGCCCTTTGGTATTGATAAACTCGGTGAAAAAAATGAGCCAAGCGTTTACTTGATTTGATATGTTTCGTTTTCCAATTCTTCTAATTGGTGATTTTTGTTGTTTCAGTGGTTGTATGTTTTTGCAGCTATCAAAGTCGGGTTTTCGTTTGTTGGTTTGTTTGTTTTTCTTTCGTTATTCATGATATTGTCGTATTTCATTTTCATGAATTTTGGGATTTGAGTTTAGATGGAGCTATATTATGCGGTTTTGTTAGTTCTATTATATACTTTGCCAATTGAACAAAGGCTTTGGAGATTGAAATTTTAATAGACGCTGACGCTAAAATGTTCTGATGGTTTTTCCCACATATTGTTATTATGTGGTTCTACACCCTTTCTGCAGCACAAAGTTTT